GGATTTTTAGGCAAGTTCCTTTACCTCTGTGTGCTTCCATTTTCTCATCGGTGCAACAAAATGTATAATATTTGAACTACTTACCTATCAGTATTGCTGTTAGAAAAGTGCTTTTTAGTATCCTAAAGTGTTGTATGTAAGTAACCATGAATGATTTCTCACTTTGTACAGCACCTGAGATAGCTTCCTATACGATTAGATGCTTAATGTTTTTTTTTTTTTAAATAATGATGAAAACCTGAAATAAATAGAGAATTTCCCCTATACATCACTTTCATGTTGTACCATACAATTTTTGGCTAAATTTTTTTTTGTGTGTTGGTGGACTTTTTAAAAAACTAGCATTTAAAAAAAATATAGCAGGTCTACAAATAAGGGAATCTTCATTTATTTTAGAAGTGTTAAGATGCAGTATTAAGATACAGTATTAGGATGTTGGCCAGACTAATTTATAAGGTAGATGTGAAAATATCCATGATGGTATGTCAAAAGCCACAATTCCCTGCACTGCCATGATGCATTGATTCCCCTGCTGGCTTTTCTCCATAGAAGTCAGAGAAGGGCAAGTCAGCAAAGTAAATCATTTTTTGGCAGCTATTTCTTCCCCTCATTTGGGATCACCAATAGATCATAAATCTGTTCTTTGTTTTGAAAAGGGCTTTCTGGAAATGGTCAGGCAATAACATCTTCCGTAATAATTCTGAGGATCTGTGGACAGCAGAGCAAGTTCAGAAACCTTTTGGAGGCTTTGAATAAAGCTACTGCAGCCCTGGCCTTGGAGTCAAGAGAACCAGAGTTTAAATCCAGCCTCAGACACTAGCTGTGTGACCCTGGGCAAGTCACTTAACCCCATTTGCCTCCCAAAGCAACAAAAGAAAGAAAAAAGAGCCAGTACTGTTTGAGGTGAATGACAGTAATCAGTATTGGCGGAAGTCCTTTCTGTCTCCCAAGTACTTTGCAGTAGAATCTCCTTTTAGATGCATGTTCATTGAGTGATAAGAAAGGTCAGATGCATCTATTTGGTTTCACCGTCTTCTGAGATTATATGTAATGTGTAAGTATATATTCATATACATACATACACAGAGGCATGAACACACATATAAATAATTATGAGAAGGTACATCTGACTTTGCTTCCTGGGGAGGAAAGCTCACCTATTTGGAGGAGTAGATGGTTGAATTTCCTTTTAAATGGGGAAGGAAAAGTGTAAGATGCTGAGAAGATTCAACATCATACTCACTGAAAATTAGTTGAAGAAAATGGACATGTTTAGTCTGGGAAAGAGAAAGTCTGTGGGATCATAGATTTCAAAAGGGACCTGAGAAGTCACCCAGCTCAAGCTCCTCATTTTATAGATGAAAAAACTGAGAAAAGACTTATGTGGAATTTCAGAACATAAAATGTAAGCTCATTGTAAAAAGATTGTTTTATTCTTTGTTTTTGCATCGCCAGTGCCTAGCACAGTGCTCGGCACATAGTAGGCACTTAATAAATACTTGCTGATTGATAAATAAATAGCTGAATCCAAGTATGTGAAGGGGTATTATGCAGAGGAAGAATTACACTTGCTTTCTATAGTAAGTAGAAATTTTAGATTTTTATTCTGGGTCCATTTAAGAGAACATTATGGGGCAGCTAGGTAGTTCAGTGGACAGGGCACTGGGCCTGGAGTCAGGAAGACCTGAGTTCAAATCCTATCTTAGACACTAGCTGTGTGACCCTGGGCAAGTCTCTTAACCCAGTTTGCTTCAGTTTCCTCATTGGTAAAATGAACTGGAGAAGGAAATGGCAAACCACTGTACTATCTCTGCCAGGAAAACCCCAAATGGGGTCATGAGGAGTCAGACAGGAGTGAAGTGACTGAACAACAAGAGAACACTTCCTAACAGTTATAACTTTTCTAAAGTAGAATGGGGTTGCCTCAGGAGCTGATGAATTAGAAGGCTCAAATATTTGTAGAGGAGCTTCCTTGTTTGAGTACAAGTTGGATTAGCTGAGGTCTCTTCAAACTCTGAGATTTGTAATTCTATGAAACTCCTGATGAATTTCTTTTGCTCTTTGTCAGCAATGCTTAAGAAACAAAATTTTAAAACTGATACCTGAATGACTTTAGGCAAATCACCTCAATTCTTTGGGCCTCAGTTTCCACATTTGTTCCTGTTATAAGTTCCCTTACATCTCAAAATCTGTGATAGTTTGATCTCATGGTTGGGGAGAGGGTTAGTTGTCATTCATCTCTCATTGCCTTGAGCAATTCCTTTCAACATATATTAACCACCTACTATGTGTGCAGGTCACTTTTCCCCTCTTAGGCTTAGTTCCCTTACCTATACAATGAGTAGGAGTGGACTTCGGTGATATCCAAGGACCCTTCCAACTTCAGAGCTCTGTAATCCTATTTTGAGGACCAATAACATCTTCCTAGTGACAGATTCTTTTAGTTATTTCTTACAGTTCCAAGCACTGACAATTGTATGAGCCTCTGTTGGTTGCATTTCTTTTTGTTTTTGTTTTGTTTTGTTTTTGTATTTTACTAGGCAGTGGGATTAAGTGACTTGGCCCAAGGTCACACAGCTAGTGAGTGTTAAGCGTCTGAGGCCGGATTTGAACTCAGGTCCTCCTGACTCCAGGGCCGGTGCTCTATTTACTGTGCCACCTAGCTGCCCCTATTGGTTGCATTTCTCCAGGCTCTTCTTGCTGCTCTGAGTACCACCAGATAACTAGATGTATGTTTGTGGAAGAGGGAACATAGTTAGAGGATGCCTTTGAGGTCAGTGAGCTATGATTTGTCTTTTTTTAATGGAAAATAGAAGTAAAGTCTCTTGGGGTTCTGTGGCCTTCCCATTAGGAAATCATGTCAGATTGTACTATTGCTTCCTATCAGCTGGCAGCACACAGAGTTATCAGGTCTCTGAGGGTAGATAAGAAAGGGGGCAATTGGTCTTCCAGCCACATGCTGTTCCCTTTCTTTTAAAAATTTTTTTCCTCTCTCTAATGAGAACTGGTCTTCCAATGAGTAATCACCAAGACTTAGAGGCGAAAAAGGACCTTGGGAATAGTACAGTTCTTGGTGAATTAACTTACATTAATGAGACTTGTAAGTTAAGTGCAATCTAATTTGGCGGTGAAAATTATCTTTGTGTACTGGGGGTTAGACAATGAAGTGACCTGGAATATACTTTTCAATTAAATGTCCCCAATAGCCTTAGTCTCATTAAAATTAGTCTTTCAGATATCACCTCTTAAAAGGATTGTTATTCTAGTCATCATTTTGCCCTGGAAAGTCTCTTGAAGATGGCAAAATGTCTCCTTTTTTTAAATGTGTAGAGGAGGGTGGTATAGGAGTATGCCAGATTTATACTGAACATAGCTAGAAATACCTCTCTAATTCAGTTGAAAATATTTATTAGTCATCTGTGTAGTGCCACAAGGTACCTTCCAAAACTCAAAGAATGTGCCCCCTTGAGTCATATATCTTGTCATTTAGAGTGCTGTGATCAAAATCATGGAGGATGAAAAGAATGGACTGAGTATTCTAGTTGGAAAAGACCATGCAGTATATAAAAGGCAGTGTAATATTAGTCTAGAAAAGGAGGTGGGAACCAAATTATGGAGTGGCTAAAAGGCTAGGCAAAATAATTACTTCTGGAGGTTTACGAATAAGGAATAATATCTGAGTTCTACCGTGAAAAAGGTCACTATAAGACAGATTGGAGGAGGCAGGAAGACCAATTAGAAGATGGTAGTTCAGGGGCAGCTAGGGAGTGCAGTGGATAGAGCTCTGGTCTTGGGGTCAGGGAGACCTGAGTTCAAATCCAGCCTCAGACTCTTAACACTTACTAGCTGTGTGACCCTGGGCAAGTCACTTAACCCCAATTGCCTCACAGAGAAAGGAGAAAAAAGAAAGAAGATGGTAGTTCAGATAACACAATAATGATAACTCATTTATATAGAACTTGAAGGTTTTCTTAAGCCATTTTCTCATAATAGTAGGTGAGAGTAGGTGAGTAGTTATCCGTGCTTTCTGCATAAGGACCTGAACTAGGAATGGAATTGAGGGAACACTGAGGTTAAATATAGGATTTAGTAATTAATTGGTTGGAAATGAGGGAGACAAGGGCATTCGATTTTGAGCCAGGATAACTGTAAGAATGAAGACCCTATGAACAGAAATAGGGAAGTCAAGAAGATGTGGATAGAAAGATAATGAGTTCCAGCTAGTCAGGGTAGGAATATGAGCCATGTTAGGGCTAAAGATAGAGCCTGGTCTTTTGGGTAATGTGAACCCTATTATTCCAGATTTGTGGACTTACTGGTCATTTCTTTACTCTGTTGAGAATGACTGAGAAGGTTCGGAGGTTATCTTGTGAATAACTGTAGAGGTAAAGAAGCCGAGAGAAAGGTATGAGAGAAAAGAAAAGGGTATTTCCTGTAGCTACAGATGGTGCCAAGAGAATTTCGTGTTGAATGTGTGAGGGTGTATGCTACAGCTTCTTTTTAAATAGTAGCAGAGTAGGATACCTTTCTGTGAGGTCATTCTAGCAGACTGCGTGCTAAGATTTTGAAAAAGACCTGGAGGAAGGAGGAGGAGGACCTTCTGTTGCCCAGTTTTCCTGCCTTGCCTGTCCGCCTCTCCAAGTAAGTGAGATACACTCTAGTAGTAGAGCCCTGAGAACAGCCTAGGAACTGAACTCATTCTCTGGGGCAAAGGCAGGGCAGACTTACTTGGGCTGTCCCAATGTGGCGTCAGGGCCAGACTGAACCCTGGATTTAGAGGGAACAGTGGGTTCCTAGCCTCCAGCAGGTGGGCCTTTGTTGTTGTTGATGCTAAAAGCTTGGATTAAAATATAGAATGGTTGTGGAGCAGAGCTCAGAGTAGCATTTTGCTTTGCCACAATTCCAGCCTTGAAAATTATAATGTGAGCTTTCTCTGTAGCGTCTGCAAGCTGTGTGTATTCCCATTTAGCCAAATACCTGTTGTATCTCTTTATTTTTAGATGCAGTGAAATTGAGTCAGCTTCTATAAAAATGCAACCTGTCTTTCCTCTCCTGAAGAAAAACAACTTTCTGTAAGTATAATTAGTATACAAATTGCCACACAGTGATAACAAAAATACCCTTGAGGTGTTGTCATTGATTTGTGTAAGTGAAGAGAAACTCTCAAGATATAGGAGTGAACTTAGCCAAAATTTTTATTTAATTCAATTCTGTAGATATTTATTAAGCCCTGCTGTGTGCAGTATACTGTGTCTAGGTACTAGGAGTGAGTGATAAAAAAATTAGGTAAGATGTGACCCTTGCTGTGATGAAGCTTCTAGGCTAGTGTGGGGATAAGTCACATATCTACATAACCTTGATACAGAATAATGCATAATAAAGGCATTAGAGAGGTATAAATAAATGCTATGTGAGGTCTAAGGGGAGACAGATAATGATCTGATCTGAGGGACTGTGGAAAGCTTCATTGTAGAAATGAGTGTCATCTGATTTGTGCTTTATGGGGTATGGAGGAATCCAGTAGACAAAAGGGGTGGAAAGAATATTCTAGAAATAACTAATAATCTGAGTGAAGACACAGAAGCTAGAAAACAGAGGACATGTTCAGGGAACAGTAAATAGTACACACAGGTAGTATAATGGAATTAGGAAGACCTGAATTCAAACTTAGTCTCAGACACTTACTTGCTGTGTGACCCTGGACAAATCACTTAAGATCTGTTTTCCTCAGTTTTCTTATCTGCACAATGCAAATAATAATAGCAACTACTTCCCAGTGTTATTGTGAAGATAAAAAAAGATAATATTTGTAAAGCACTTTGTCATCCTTAAAGTGCTATACAATTGCTAGTTATTATTATTATTTAGTCCAATTTGATTATATCATAGAATAAATGCAAAAGTGAAATATGAGCTAAGGTGAGAAAGCTAGGGTAGCACTAACTTGTAGATAATCTTCAATTCCAGTCAAAAAGGGTCTGAATTTTAATCGGGAAACCATAGGAAGCCACTGAAAATTTTTGAGCAGAGGAGAGTGACATGACTAGATTTATGCATGTAGAAGATTAGTCTGTTAACAGTATTATTGGATTATTGATTATTGAATTGTTACTGAATATTGGATTAAAGGAGAATAGAGGAAGAATAAAAACAGGAAGACCTGTTAGAAGGCTATTGTAATAGCCCAGGGGAGTGGTAATCAACGCTTGTATTAGAATGGTAGTAGTCCAATTGACAAAATACTAGGTAGCTGAGTAGGTATGAGAGGTGAAAGAGAGGGGAGAGTCAGAGATAACACAAGTATTAGGTACATGGGATAGTGATAAACTGAGTTTTGGACGTTGTTGAGTTTGCCGTGCCAACGAGACATCCAGGTAAAGATTTCTTAGAGGCAGTTGGTCATGTTTATCTCCTCGTTAATTGGAGAGACAGGGTCATGAGGAATAAATTTGGGAAGTCTCTGAATAGATACAACTGTCTTTTTAAAATTAATTTTTAATTAAAAAGATTAAATCTTCAAGCAAAACCTATTGCCACAATGGCCACATCCAAAGATGCATGTCTTATTCTCCATCTTGGGTATGTTCCTTCTTTGTTAGGAGGCACATCATCATTGGTCTCCTGGAATCATGGTTGGTCATTGCATTAATCAGAATTCTTAAGTCTTTCCAAGTGGTTTGTCTTTACAGTGTTGGTATAGTATAAATTATTCTCCTGATTCTGCTCAGTTCACTCTGAAGCAGTTCATACGAGTCTTTCTAGGTTCCTTTGAAACTATCCCTCCTAAACCCTAATTTGTTCAGCCAATTTCCCAATTGATGGGCATTCCTTTAGTTCCCACATCTTTGCCCCTAGAAAAAAAAAAGCTTCCATAAATATATTTGTGCATATTTGGGGGACATCTTAAGGGTTTCAGAAGAAGATGAGGAGACAGAAGGAGCAGTTAAGAGGAAGTAGTAGAAACAGGAGAGTCCATTCCAGGACTAAAGAGGTCATTTGATTTTGTCACTGTCAACTTCTGACATATAGTTTCAGTAGAGTAGAGAGGATGGAAACTTTAGCTGGGGGCTGAAGAAAGATTGAGTGATAAGGAAGTGGAGATATTGAGTGTAGACAGCTTTGTTGAAGAAATTTGTCAGTGAAGGGATAGAAGAATGTGGGAAAGTAGCTGGATAGAGTAGACGTTTCAAGGAATGGCATCAGGGAGATTTGAGCATGCTGGTTGGCATATGAAAAGAAGCCTTTGAAGAGGGAGTCATAGATGCATGGGAAAGTAGATAAGTTTTGGAGTAATGTTAGGGCAAATGGGTGGAACGCTAAGGGATTAATTGATCTGAGCTAAGAGACCTGGTAGCTTTTCTAAGATTAGAGGGGAGGAGGAAAAAAATGGAGAATGATGCAGACTTTTGAAAAGTAGAGGCGGAGAGTTAAGGAAACTCCTGCCAGACAACCTCAGTGTTGTCATTGAAATAGAGGTGCAATGTCATCTACTTGAGGTATGGAGCCTGTGGTTGGGAATTGGAGGAAAGCAGAAAAGTTTGGATTGGTAACAGTGGGGAATAAGTTGGGAGTCAATAAGTTGAGAGTAGAAATAGTGCTGTACAGTATTATGTGCTCATTTGAAGTTATTTGCCATACATTTACAGTACGTAACATCAGTTCAGTTCTGTGACTCTCACCAGTAAAAAATAACAACCTTGTAATAGGTGCAAAGGAATCAGATTATGGAGGTTGCTCAGGGATAAGAATTAACAAGGTACAACTTGTGGAAAATCACAGTTGAGGGATATAGAAATAGCTTACCACAGTTATGGAGGAACCAGAATGGGGGAGATAGAATGGGAGAATATGGATGAGATAAGCAATCAGAAATTGTAGTGAAGGTAAGAGAAGGTGTTAGCATGAACTTGAGACTGTGGAAGGATCAAAGTTGTGGTCTGAGAGTTGAATTTCAAAGTTCAGGTCATAGAATTGGATATACTTCCAAGAGCTGCTGAAGTCTAAGATGTGACCATTCCTGAATGTGGCTGAAGTAGCAAAAGACAGTTTCCAGTTAAATCAAGATGTTACCAGAAATGCTGATGGAAAAGTTTAAGGGGAGAAGATGGCATGGAATTTGTCAGTTTTGCAGTAGAGTTCTCAAGGCCATAATGGAATGAGCTAGAACAAATATTGTTGTTGTTTGTCCTTTGTTCTCAAACAGGACCATGACATCAGGGAGGTGATGCCGTGATATGCAGGTGAATTGGATTTAAGTGAGGGAGGGCTGTGCAGAGTCATCAGCCTCACTTTCTCCTCCAGAGCCATCTGGGTCCAGTGGTGAGATATAGCTCAGGATGACTGGAGATGGCCCTGGATGCAGTGGAAGACCTTGGCCTTTTTAAGCTAAGGTCTTTAACAAGTCTTAGTTTGACTAAGGCAGTGAACAAATGTGAACAAGATTGTTAGGAACCTGGGGAGGAGAGCATTAGAGCGGATCTGCTTAGGGACGAGGGTTTGGGGGGGTGTAGTTGGAGCCTGCTTCTGACTTCTGAGGGAAAGAAGGTTTTAAACAAATTTTATTGTTCAGTTCTAAAGTTATTATTTTTAACTGCTAAGAGTTAGAGGTTTTGATTGGAAATCTGTCAGGCTTTCTTGTTATGAAGGAGAGGTTAAGAAGATAAGAGCCAAATGTGTGTGAGTTACTGGCAATGCTAGGTTTTCGTGATTTGGTCTGCTGTGGCATTTAGCCCAGAATCCTCCTCACTCATTGTCTGTGTTAGGCTAGCATTAGTCATTAGCACAGACTACTGCCTACTTACTTTATAAAAAGAAAGCTGGAGACTCAGAAGAATAGTTGGTGTTTTTGAAGAACTTTGCAAAATAAAATGTGAGATGGGGAAAAATTGGTGATAGATAGCCAGATAGACAGAGATAGAGATATATCTATCTATAGATTTATATAAATATACCTATATCTGTAGAGATGTGTGTGTCTGTGTGAATATATGTATGTCCTTGATCTGTGATTTAGTCAGTGTGGGGAATTCCATGCACCAATGCAGATCCCACCTTATCTACAATTTAGGGAGTTGCCCAAGGCCCCTAGAGATTAAATGATTTGTTCAGGATCACTGGAATCTGGGGCAGAATTTTAACCCAGCTCTTCCTCACTTTAGAGGCAGTACTTTGGCCACTGTGCAACACTATGCATGTGTTTATGCAGACACATGCATGTATGCATGGTCTTTAGAACAATCTACTAATTTGAAGAAGCAGCAAAGATTTGTAATTGGAAGACTTGGGTTCAAATCCCAGCCCTGATATTTACTAATGGTAACCCTGGGTAAGCTACTTATCCCCTCTAGCTCTTAGTTTTCTTCATTTGTAAAGTGAAAGGATTTTGATTATGTAACCTCTAAAGTCCCATCCAATCCAAAATCCTGTGGGCCTTAGAGAAATCACTCACTTGGTAAGTTGTACAGTTATCCCTTCTGCATTGTGTGGGTTTAGGGGTGCAGTACTCCCATGATCTGGAAAATCCGTGTAAAACTTTTTGGCCCTCCCTTTGTACCAGAGAAGAAGTCTGAATTATTGTTATTAAAAGATAAAATATGTTGTTGTTGTACAATACTATACATGTATTTTATGCATTTCTGAGTTTCTAAAATTTTTCTGTGTCTTCTGCTGGCCTTCACGTGTCATTTGTAGCTTTTGTAAAACTCTCCCAAAATTCCCATTTAATTTCTTATGCCAACCCAAGATATGGTGAAATCACAATGGGGAAAGCTGCAGTGTGGACAAAATAAATGTAGATGGTAAAATAAATTGAGTGTTGGCTTTAATGTGCCTTTTGGTTCTGAAGACATGTATTATGGGGCAGCTAGGTGGTACAGTGAATAGAGCTCTGGCCTTGGAGTCAGGAGGACCTGAGTTCAAATCCAGCCTCAGATACTTAACACTTACTAGGTGTGTGCCCCTGGGTAAGTCATTTAACCCCCGATCACCTCACCAAAAAGCAAAAAAACAAAAACAAAAAACTGTACATTATATTGAATTGTTTTCAGCTTTTAAAGATTTTCATATTTTGTACAAGCTTTGGCATTTTATTTCAAGCAAAAACTAATTCTAAAAAACAAATTTTTATTCCATATGTGAAGTAGTAGTTACTACATCTCTTTTTTTCTAGAAAAGAATATCATTCATCTTGGAAATAACCTGTGTTTTTAGGGAAAGGGAGGAGAATGTCTATAGCCATATGTGTCAATCTCTCAATACCCTTCTCATCTTTTTGAGGATGGTACTTTATTACTGATTGATTTGAAATGTAATGAAAGGACACAAACACATAGAATAGTTTAGTTACACTCATTAAATTTAGCATATATCTACTTAGAAAACAAATTGTACATAAAAGAAGTTGACAGTTCCATATGAAAGCCTCAATCTTTATATATTGATATATATGTTGATATATATGTATTTATTGATGATCATTATGTTCACAACAAAAAAAAGGAAATTTCTTTTTTTAAAATGTAGTGGAGGTCAGTCAATCAAGCAACAAGTCTTTAATAAGCACCTATTTATTTGCCAAGTGCTGTACTAGGCACTGCGATTACAAGTACAAAGAATGAAATAATCCCTACTCACAATGAGTTTACTTTTTTTTTTTCTTTTTGGTAAGGCACTCGGGGTTAAGTGACTTGCCCAGGATCACACAGCTAGCAAGTGTCAAGTGTCTGAGGTCAGATTTGAACTCAGGTCCTCCTGACTCCAAGACCGGAGCTCTATCCATTGTGCCACCTAGCTGCCCCTGAGCTTACATTTTAATGGAGAAGACAAGTACATATAAAAATTACAGACAGCATAATTATATATACAAAGTCGTTAAATAACAGTTAATTTGGGAAGTTAGATGCTAGCATTCAGAGGAATTGGGAAAGGTTTCACGTAGATGATGGCGTCTGGCTGACTCCTAGAGGAGGAAGGGGGCTCTCTGAGATGGCGTGAACAGAGGCATCCGAGGCACAGAGGCTCTGAGAGGGCGTGTTCAAGGAACGGAGAGAAGGCTGGCTTGGTTATATTGCAGAATGTGGGACATCACGTCCAATGAGGCTAGAAAAACAGGTTGGGACCAGGTTGTAGAGGGCTTTAAAAGCTAAACAGAAGAATTTATATTTGGTCCTAGAGGCAATTGGAAGCCTCTGGAGTTTGGTTGAATTGGAGAATCATGGTCAAAATTGCTTTTATAGAAAATTGCTTTGGCAGCTATGTGTAGGATGGTATCTTGCTGTTAATCTGACTTCAGTCTTCAAATTTATATTATTTGTTCTTTCTTATTCAGGGCTGCTGCCATGCCGGGTGAATAGGGCTCAGTGACAGGACATTCCTGGAAATACTTGTGGTCATACCCAGCGGGGAGAAGCACACCATTGCCCCATGACACCATGACAGCAAGAGAGCACAGCCCACGTCACGGCTCCAAGTCCCGTTCAGTACAGCGGGCCTCAACTATTGATGTTGCCTCTGATATGCTGGGACTGTCTCTGACAGGTGAGTCCCACATCTCCCCCTCTTCCATTGAGATGGGCTAACCTTGGAGCAGACACAAACACTAAGTAAAATTGGAAGGGAAAGAAAATGGTGACTGGCTCTTGGAACATGCCCCTTTGGATTGTCCCTAGTACTAAACTAGTCATGGTATGTTAAACTAGTAAACTAGTCTAATGGTATGTTAGATTATCCATTACAGAGAGAAAGAAAACACAAACACACACACACACACACAGAGTTTGAAATTGTATTCAATGATCCATACTTATAGTCACTTTTCACATAATTCTAAATTGTTTTCCAACAGTTCAACCATTTTACAGCTATACCAACAGTGTGTTAATATGCCCATATTTCTCCACCCCATTATTTTTAAGAAATCTTTTAAATTTAATTTATTGATACATTTTGTTTCAACACATACAAAACCCCACCATATTCACAATTGTACACTCCCTGAAAAGAGGTAAAATAGCTTAAAAGATGATTAAGGCTATTAATACCCTACCTTGAGTAGTTTTCCACTTGGTTGAAAGAAAAGATGGGTATATATCTTATAAGGTAATACCAATATTTTCTAACCTTTTAATTTTATTGTCATTTAAAGTTGTCTTCATTTATATAGTTATATAGTTTTAGTCAATATGTGTTTTATTCTTTTGGTTCTGCTTTATTCATTCTTTCTTACTTCATGCAGGTCTTACCGTATTTTCTTGAATTATTTATATTGATTGTTCTTTCTGGCACAATGCTATTCTACTAAATTAAACAAACCATTTGTTTAGCCATTCTCAAATGATTGAGCACATGGTTTGTTTCTACCTTTTAGAAATTACAAATAGTAATTGATACTTTCTTACTATTAGTTGTTTTGGAGCATAAGCCCAGGAGTGAGATTGCTGGACTAGAGAGTATATGAACAGTTTTGGAACTTCCTTGGCATAATTCCAAATTGTTTTCTAAAACTGGGACCCTAACTCATAGCTCTACCAGCAGTGAATCAGTGTGCCTGTTTTCTTGCAGATTGATTATGTTCTGCCATTTCTTTTCCTGTCCAGGAAACATCCAGGATCCAGATGAGCCCATATTAGAATTCAGCTTGGGTTGGTATCATTTTTAAAACATTATTTTTAGAATGTATGGTTAGCACAAGTTTAGTATCACCAACACCTCAAAATTCTCTGATGATTTGTTGCTTTGGCTGAAATATTTTATGTAGAAAATAAAGCTGAGGAAGGTGTGAATTTCTTGTCACAGTACTGATAGAAATTAGGACTATGCCTGGGGCTTTTTATGCCTTGGAGCCAAGCGCCTTCCCTCTTATCATCTGACTCTCACCCAACTAGACTATAGAGGTGACAGGCGAAGAAGACAGGTGGATGATCCTGTAGCAGGAACAACACTCCACACCTCCTCCCCATTCAACCCATGCTCTTGCCCAAAATACAACCTTCTGTTGTGATCTAGCTGAGCAATAATGACAGCTGAGGAGTATGGATGTTGCTGCTTCTGGTAATCTAAAGATTTCCCTCTCCTAGACTGATGCTCTTCACTGCTCTTTTCTCTTTTCTCCTTGGATGGTAGTTACAGAGGTCACTGACTATATCCAGGACACAGAGTGTAGTGGAAAGACCCTGAACTAGGAATCAAGACCTAGGTTCTGGACTGTTCTGGCTGAGTGGTGTGCCTTTAACCACATAAACTTCCTCTTCTGTAGTAGGAGGTGATGATAACTTGGCTCACTGGGTTATTGTGAGGGTTAAATAAGATAATAAAGTGCTTTGAGAAGTATAAGTAACTGTATAAAGATATGTCAAAGAATGCAATTTCATCAGGTTGGAAACTCATGTCTTAGAAAGTTGCTAAGGCTCAGAGAAATTAAATGACATTCCCACAATCACACAGGGGGTGTTAAAGGCAGAATTTCAAATGGACACTCCCTAACTTCAAATCTAGAATCATGTCTAATGTGCTGTGGCTCCTGTCTTATTAAGGCTGAGAAGATTAAGGGACTTTTTCAAGGTCACACAGGTAGTAAGTTCCTGAGCTAGAGTGTGTAAATATAAGAAGTATTCAGAATAGTAAATAATATGATTAACTACTATAATAACAATATTATTAACTACTGCAGTTACTACCTCCTAAACATAACCCTAATGAGAAACTAAAAATTTTACCTCTTGCTTTCTAAAGGAGGTACATAATTCATTATAAAACTAGTAAGTACTTTTTGCATTGGAAGTACTCACTCTTCTCATATGAGAGTCACAGAAATTCACAGAGCTGTGAGGTAACTAGGTCATGAGTGGATAGAGGGCTGGCCCTGGAGTCAGGAAGACCTGGGTTCAAATTTGGCTCAGACACTTATTCTGTGTGACTGGGCAAGTCATTTAACTAACCTCTGTCTGCCTCAGTTTCCTAATCTATAAAATGGAGGTAATAATAGCACCTATTATTATAATACCCAACATTTATATAGCACTCCCTATGTGCCAGGCACTGTTAGGTGCTTTGCAGTTATCATGTCATTTGGTCCTCACAGCAACCCTGGAAACTGAGACAGGCAGAGGTTAAATGACTTCCCCAGGGTCATGCAGCTAGTAAGTGACCAAGGCTGTATTTGAACTCAGGTCTTTCTGACTTCAGGCTCAGTGTTCTATCTACTGCTCTGCTTAGTTGCCCTGTGACAATAATAATATTTATAAAGTGTTTAACACAGTGCCTGGCACAAAGTAGGTGCTTAATGCTTGTTTAAAAAAAAATAATGGAACCTTAGAGAACTAGTTCAGTCCCATCACTTTACAGATGAGGAAACTGGGATCCAGAGAGATCTTCCACATTATGCTTCCTGGACTACAGGATAATCAGCATCTTGCTTTTTAGCTGCTTTTTTTTACAGACTTCTTATAAAGTCTTAAGTAGATAGGTGTGGTTTTGTTGACTTTATCTCTTCTGATTTATTTAGATAGATTTCTGTGGCTATTGTCTCTGTGTTAAAGCTTCTAGTGATGTTACATTTTATCTTTGTCTAGTTCAGGGTTTTAGGGTCTTAGGTTTATCATCATCTACATCTTCTAACTTACATGTATCAAATCCATCCTCAGATATTAACTAGCTGTGTGACCTTGGGCAAGTCATTTTACCTTATTTGCCACAGTTTTCTCATTTGTAAAATGAGCTGGAGAAGGAAATAGCTAACCACTCCAGTATCTTTGTCAAGAAAATCCTAGATGGGGTCATGAAGAATTGGGCATGACTAAAAATGACGAAACAACAACAATAACAACAACTTTATGTCGGATGCTCTGTTGCTTCTGATATTACACTCTGAATCCATGCCCCAGCCTATTCTATCAGAGATTGTTATCTACATTCTTATTTCCCCATTTTTACTTCATTAATTACTCTGTCTTGCCTTCAGTCCGTAGGCAGGTATACACAGTATATTTGTTCCAGGACTTTATGGAATTGATTGGCTTGTCAATACGCTAACACAGTCTTCCAGAAATACCATCCCATTGAAATAGTATAGTAACTGATACCTATCATGATACCATTGACTGAGGTCCTGAGATACTGGCTTCCTGTCTGTAACCTTTTCATTTTTTTCACACATGAGCCATGAACCCATGGAATTGGGAAGATAGTTAAGCATAGAGCTTAGCCCTTTCTCAGAAAACTTCTCTGTACAGGTTTTATGAAGTAGCAGTTAAGAAAAAAGGAAGCATTCCTTTCTATTGGGCCAGCATCTCCAATTGCATGGTTCTAGATTGCTGAGGTGGGTAGGAATAGCAGGCATATAATACATGAGCTTTCTAGATGAGACTTATGGTCAAAAGCAACTTTGGTCTTTGTGTTTTTATCTGAGCAAAATTTTTGTAACTAAGATTTTGATATTTTCTTTACATTGGGTATAGAAATGGAGAAGTCAGAATAGAGATAAAATCTTTCTGCCAACAAGCTATGGCTTTATTTTTAGGTAATGGGCTGCACCCAATTTATTTTTATTAAACAAATATAAGCATACCTTGGAGATACTGAAGGTTTGGGTTCAGACAAGTACAATAGAGTGAGTCACTTGGTTTCCCATATAAAATTATGTTTACACTATAATGTAGCTTGTTAAGTATGCAGCAGTATTGTATCTAAAAAAACCCAACAATGTACATACCTTGTTTAAAAAGTACTTTATTGCTAAAAGATGCTAACCATCATCTGAGCCTTCAGCAAATCATAATATTTTTGCTGGTGGAGGGTCTTGCCCCAATGTTGATCGCCACTGACTGATCGGGGGGTGGTTACTCAAGTTTGGGGTGGCTGTGACAATTTCTTAAAATAAGACAACAGTGGAGTTTACCACATCGATTGACTCTTACTTTCACTAGAATGCATATAGGCCATTGTAGGTCTATTAATTAGCCCAATTTTAATATTATTGTCTCCCAGGGAATAAGGAGACCAGAGAGTGACAGAGAATGGGCTGGTTGTGGAGCAGTCAGAACACACACAACATTTATCAATTAAGTTCATCATCTTATATGGGCACGGTTCATGGTGCCCCATAACAATTATAATAGTAACATCAAAGATGACAGATCACCATAACAGATATCATAATGATGAAAAAGTTTGAATTATTGTGAGAATTACCCAAATGTGACACAGAGATATTATGTGAACATATGCTTTTGGGAAAATGGCACCAATAGATTTGTTCCAACTCAGGGTTGTCACAAGCCTTTAATTTGTAAAAAACACACTATCTGTGAAGCTCAATAAAGCCAAGTGTAATAAAACGAGGTATACCTGTAGTTAGGAAATGGCTACCTCTGTGCACTGTGCTAGGATTTATAGGACATACAAAGATGTCCTGTCAAAGTTCAACGCAAATACCACCTCTAGCGTACAACCTTCTCTTGATTTGCCAGTTGTTAGTGCTCTTCCTTCCCAAATCACTATATTTATTTTGTGTCATATAGATAATTTCCTGTGAGCATGTTTTATCCCCCTAGTATAACATAAATGCCTTGATAACAAAGATTGTGATCATATGACCAACAATATGGCTGAATAGTTGCTTTCTACAAATTTCTCCAATTCCAGAACTTCAAAAGAAAGGGCTAGATACAGGGTACTTTAAGCTGAATTTACAAGATAAGATTATAAAATCCTTGTACCAGAAAATAACTTAATTCAGAAACTATGAGAACATTGCCAAGAATTTCTGAATCCTGGCCTCAAGGAAGTGATTGAGTGCCTAATGCATTTGCCTGACACACAGTAGGTGCCTGGGTACTTGTTGATTGACTGCTGTTTAGTTGGGGAGGCAAGAAAGACACAAATCATAAATAATAGTACAACAGTAGAAAAGCTGTCAGAAAGAGCAGAGAAATTAGTGTATCATACTGCTCCCAGGAGAAGGAAGGTAGTACTTGAGCCAGGCTGTGAAGGATAGATAAGATTGAGATAGTTAAGAGTGGATGAAGGAGGGCACTCCAAGAGAAGGAAAACAGCATCTACAAAGGCCCTCTGGAAGGAGGGAGGGATATGCATGGAAAGACAAGTACAACAGTTTGACTAGATTGAAAGACTTGTATAGGGGAGAAGTGGAAGATACAGTTTAGTCCAACAAACTTTACACTGCTTTGGAGATGAATTTGGAGAAATAGGTCAACGAGGATTGAGGTTGGAGAGTATTAAATACCATACTAAGGATCATTGGATTATAGATTTAGAGCTTAGAAAATTGCTCAGAGGGTACCTAGTCCAATCCTTTCCTTAACCCAAGGTAAGGAATTGAGGCCAGGATAGGTTAAATGACTTTTCCAAAGTCTCACAGCAGTGGCAGATTAAGGATTTGAACCCAGGCCTTCTGACACCAAATTCTGCAAATTTTCTACTATTTGACCTTTATCCTGTAGGTAATAGTAGCTGTCCTCTAATTAGAATTACAGTTGCTTATTATTTGCAATTTGTTTGGAGGTTTTCTGTTTAATAAAAAAATTAAGATACAGTTTTTGTGTATTGGTGTTTAATTTTCTATCTCCACCCCCAACCATGTTTGAAGGAGTTAGAAAGCTATTATGTTGCTTAAGTTGATGAAACATTAAAGTATTATTTAATACTCATTGATTTTCATGTAACATACACGATATTAAAGCCAGATTGATATTCTAAGAGTACAACACTCTTCTTTGATGATGATTTCAATTTCAGACATCTTGTCGATCAAAGCACTTCAGCATTTAACTTATTTTCTTAAGTTTGGTAGAAAAGTTATCATACCTACCTTGTCTTAGCTAGAGTAAAACGTTGCCTGTTGAGGCTTTTTTTATCCAGGAGCTAAATCTTTTCTAATTTTTTTTTTTGCCTGTTGTTGCAATAAATGGCAGACTTTCACTCCCACAACTATAGTGAAGTCTTCCTTCCTTCCTTCCTTCCTTCCTTGCTTCCTTCCTTCCTTCCTTTGAAGACAACATGCAAACAGCAATATAAGATAAGATACACACGTAAGATTAATTAATAATAATCCAAGGAAAGACACTAGTATTAAAGAGTATTGATAAAGGCTTCTTCCAGAAAGTTGAATTTTAGTTGTGACTTATAAGAAGCTAGGGAATCTAGGAGGTGTAGAGATTAAGAGGGAGAGAATTCTAGGTTTAGGGAATAGCCAGAGAAAATTCATAAAATCAGCATCTTGATAAGCAAAAGCAAGGAGGCCAGTGTCTGAACTGTGGAATATGTGGAGGGGAGTAAAATGTAAGATTAGAATGATAAGAACAGCATGTGGTACTTTACCCTTAAGTCCCAACTTTTTGTTGTTCAGTCATTTCAATTATGTCAGACTCTTCATGACCCCGTTTGAGGTTTTCTTAGCAAAATACTGGAATAGTTTGCCATTTCTCCAACCCGTTTTACAGATGCTGAGGCAAGCAGGGTTAAGTGACTTGCCCAGGGTCACACAGCTAGTAACTGTATGAGGCCAAATTTGAACTCAGCTAAATGAATCTTCCTGACTGCAGGCACACCACTCTACCCACTGCACCACCTGGCCACCCAGTCCAAACTCTAGCTGTGATATCTGAAATGTCATATCAACAAATTCTAGAGACCAGCTCATAATTGGATACATCCTTGTCCTTAGGTTTTCTCAAGTGCCAGTCGTTGGACAAATAGATGCATACATATTACAACTGCATGACTGTAGGGAAGTCATTTAACTCTTCTGAGCCTCAGTTTCTTTTTGGGGTAAAGAACACAGGTCTTAGAAAATCTGTACTTACCAGCTGTGTGACCCTGGGCAAGTCACTTAACCCCGATTGCCTCACCAAAAAACAAAAACAAAAAAAAAACTGAATTTGATTTCTGACTCTTACTTACTAGTCTGACCTTGGGCCAGTAACTTAATTTCTCTGGTCCTCAGTTTCCTCATTGATTGTACCTCTCAACTCTATTTCCTATAATATACAAAACATGAATGACAGTCCTGGTACTACCTAGCCCTCAGGGATGTTGTAATGAGCTCACTTTGTAAACCATTGAATCACTATAGAAATGAGACAAATTGAAGTCTGCTTCAAAGGCATTGTAGCCATTCTTTAGACTCTATATGTTTGTGTGAGATTAGTGTTGTTAGAACACTGTATTAATGAGGCCAGGGTCAGGTACCCATCTCCAGATGGTCCAGTTGTTTGATTCTATTCTTATGCCTTTAACCTCATCCAGCTGTTCGCCTCGAGTGGAATGAGGAGATCAAATATAGATGAGATGGCTTAAGTCTGTCACCACCGCTGGTGTGACTGCAAGGTTATTTCCTCTTGATTATGTGTGAAGGGTAACAGTAACATAGATGAACTATGTAGCTGAATTATCTTTCTTTGTGTCATTCATATGCTGGGGTTTCTTATGAAACATTTCCTGTTTTTTTGTTTTTTGGGTTGGTTTTGTTTTTTTTTTGCTTTTTTTTTTTTGAGAACAGAGAACTAACCAGAGCAAGATTCTGAAAGCTTAATTTAATTATTTTTTAAATTTTCATTGTCAAAGCTTGCAGCGAGCTACATACTCCATCGCTAGATCGAAAACCAAATAGTTTTGTAGCAGTGAGTGTAACAACACCTCCTCAGGCATTCTGGACAAAGCATGCACAGACAGAGATTATAGAGGTGAGTGTAACTCCATGTCCTCTTACAGGAGAAAACTCCAGAAATTCCCCAGTTGCAGTATTTCTGCTGCTCTATGAGGTATATATCCAGATCTGGATATATACCTATAAGGTATATATCTTTATATCCATATCCATATATACATATATATATATATCCATAGCTATGAATGTTTCTTTGAACACTGATTATTTTTACTTGTACTTTGGCCATTTCTGATTATAATCATTTATTTGCATGGCGCTTGTTTTTGAAACATGTTTTAGTAGTACTGGTTGGCTCATCGCTTTAAACAGTGCTCCTACAAGTTCATTTAGCTTTTTTGAGTTGTAAGAATAAATCAACCTTGTCCATTCTGGTTGAGGATCATGTCTGAAGAGTTGTTTTGCTCCTCTGCTCATCAGTCAAAGCTCATTAGTCTAGTTATAGCGGGATAACCAACACCTTGTTGCAGTACCCTCTCATTGTAGGATGTTTGTTTTTTTAAATTCCACAGTTTCTTATTAAGTGATAACATTATTAATATTAATTATTATTAATTATAATATTAATTATTATTATTTAATTCAAAATGAATTAAATTTATTTATTTTGAGGAACAGGGTGATGCAAATTTTATGATACGCCTGGTGACAGATAGACACATGGCAGGTGTGCTGTGCAGCAGAGGTTAGGAATTGCTGGGTCTTGAAACTTAAAAGTTCTTTTTTTCTGCTCTGTCTAATAAGAACATTTTGAGTGCCCAAAGCAGTGTAGGTAGCTTGTTGGCATTAGTGGTGTCTCCTAGCAGCTATTTCCAAAATAACATGCATTTCTTTTCTCTCTTCTCCACAAACTTGGACCTTAGCTGGATACTCATTCAGTCTTTTGGAAGCATATTTCCAAAACAAACCTGGATTGTTGACTATTTATGAAATTTTATCATTAAATGTTTCCCAAGTTAAAATACAATTAAACTGAATTTCCGGAAAAGAAAAAGATTGTAAGGATTTTTTTTTTCTTTTCCAAATTGCAGAGAAGAGGGTGGTATAAATTCTAATAATATTCCAAAAACAGGTGCAGAAAAATTAGGACCCAGAGTTTGCTAAATTCGCCATCCTTTTCTAGGAATAGTAAATATCCTTAACAGTTCATTTCCTTCCTTGTCTGGACTGTTTATATCATAAAAGACCTTAAACCTGTGAGTTGGTTTTTGTTAATGAAAAAGACCGGATATTTAACTTTGTAAGACTGAAAACATGGACATTCAACCTCTTTATAATCTTACCAAAAATAACCTTGTTGGGTTGAAAAGTTTTGTAATTGTAAGAAAACTCTTCATGACCTTGATTATAGTGTTAGAAATATCCTGTACAATGATAACAGTTAGTGGAATTTAAATGTGTAAGGGTCACTGGAGGTATCTCTGTGCCTACAAATGTTAGTTTGTTATAACCATAGCTACTAAGAACATTTTTTTTCCTCAACCTAATAATTTCATTCTGTATTTTTTTAAATGTATCTATTATTCTTTCATGGAATAACATTCTCTTTTTTGTTCCAGGGAACTAACAATCCTATATTTCTAAGCAGTATCGCCTTCTTTCAAGACTCCCTTATCAATCAGATGACGCAAATCAAACTATCTGTTTATGATGTCAAAGACAGATCTCAGGGAACAGTTAAGTAATCTTTTTTAGACTTTGTAGAATCACTTTCCTTTTCAGTCACATGATGAATTAAGTAAGATACTAGTATTTGGCTTCAAGTTTGAGCCCGAGGTAATCGAATATGTAGCCTTAGAAACAAAGTAAAACATTTCAAAGGCATCATTGAAATTTCTTTCCTCATCTCCTAACTATGCTCCTCGATAAGAGAATTCATGATATATTTTACATGAGTTCTCTTGGACTCATGTAAAAAACAAAGGATATCAATGAAACTATGTATTACAATCATTTCTTGATTGTAAGCCTCCTCTATCCCTGGCAGCCTTATACCCTGCCTCATAACAAAGAAAAGTGAGCAAAAAGAAGTGATATAATTAGTAACTTTGTCTGAAAATATATGTAACATTATGGTCTCCATAGTCATCTATTTCTCTGTCAAAAGGAGTGCATTGTATTTCACTGTCTGTTCTGATTATGACAATTAGATCATAGTTTCAGAACTAGTAGGAACCTTAGACATCATGTATTCCAACCTCCTTACTTTACAGATGAAGAAATTAAGACTCAAAAGGTTGTAAATTACAGTGACAGAGCTGAGATTTGAACCCAGAACCTCAGAGTCAAAATTCTTTCTACTGTACCATGTTATTTGTTTTACTTGGAGCCCAACCTCCTCTTCATGTTCATTTCATTTATATTCTTGTGGTCATTGTATATTCTTCTGGTTATTTCATTCTGTCACAGTTGATATAAATCTCCATTTCTCTGAGGTATTCAGAGTTGTCATTTCTTATTGCACAGTGATATTCCGTTACATTCATACACTATTTGTTCAGCCATCTCCCAATCATTGGGCACCCACTTTTACCCAGTTTTTTGATACCACAAAAAGTACTTTGATGTACAGTAGATCTGACCCGTATGCCCAGTAATGAGATCCTTACCAGACTTATTTTTTAGTCCAAATTCTTCTGCATGTCTTGTAATCAGAATATTAGAAAAATTTGTACACTAACTCTGTCACTCTTTCTCCCCTACTTAGATGTATTTACTGGGTTCTGGGACATTCATTGTCAAAGATCTGCTTCAGGAGAAATACCATAGGTTGCATTTAACACTAAGGTTGGTATTTAGCTTTGTTCTCTTTGAAAGAGAAATAAAATTCTCTTACATTTTCCTCTAGTGGTCTCAAAATTGCTTCTGCTTAGAGTTAGTTTCTGGTTAGGGTATGACATTTAAATCATCTATGGAAACAAGATATCATAGATACATTAAAGGCAATTGTCTACCTCACAGAGGCCTAACTCATAAGCATTCTGTTAGTGGAGCAAAGTGGGAATAAACTCACTTTCTTGGGGCCATTGGGGTAATTACCATGTCCTACCCTTAGAAAAGGCATTATTTGAGAATGAGCCTTGTAACTTAAAAGCATTAGTGCACTTCTCAGAAGTTTCCCATTTCCTATCTCTTCACAAGAAGAACCAGACCCTTGATTACTGTTTTATAAGGTCAAATTCTAATGGATTCATGCTGGAACTTGGCAGCAGAGAGAAATGTAGTGTTTTCATCCTTGATACCTGGTATGGAAAGCCGAATCTTGCTTATGTTCCAACAGCTAATTTTATCTGCAGTAGAAAAGGTGGGGTGTCATCATTGCACCAAACTTCCTTCTGCATTTTAAATCTTTCCTTTGGGAGGTGTGTCATTTCAACAGATTACACTGTGAGGCAGTGGTCCTCCCAGCTTCTAAGCTTATACTGTGAGGTGGCTTCTAAATAATTTCTGTCTTTAGGGCTTCTTTGAGTAGTTGGGTGAAGAATGGGTTGGGGGGAAGTCAAGTCATCCCTTCAAAATTCTTCCTGAGTTCATTCTAGTTAACTGTCCAGGGGAATTCCTAAAGGGTACTAGTTTAGACAAGACTCTGTCTCACTTGTTTGCTAGAGCTAATTAGAGTTGGGGATTGGGGAAGGAAGGAACATTGAAGAGATGGGAAAGGGGAAATAAGAAGGGGGGTGTAAGGATAGACTCATTTCCCAGAGGACTCTTAGTCCTGAAGCCTAATACCAGAGTGGAGAGACCCCTCACAGCACCTGTAGACTAAAGCAATTATTCAGATCCTATCAGTCCCAAGTTTTGATCATCCCCTAATATTCCTGGAAATACTCCAGGGTCCATAGATGTAAATCTGTGACTTTTAGCCAGTTGTTAGTTTGAACTTCTCATGTATAGTATACTTGCCTAGCATGACATACATTACAAGCAAATTCACATTTTATCACATTGTTTGTCACAGGTCTGCTGAAAATGATCGCGTAGGTAACATTACTGTAATAGGATGGCAAATGGAAGAGAAGTCAGACCAGCGGCCCCCTGTAACGAGGTCACCTGATACAGTTAATGGGAGGGTGAGCATGTACCTTTTTTGAGCTACCAAAGTAGGAATTGGAAGGAAAACATAGCACAAATAGTGTTTGCCATCCAGGTCCTCATCAGAGTAATTTTCATTGATTGTTAGCTTTATGTCATTGGAAACCTCTTCATTTTCAACCCCTCAATGACCTATGTTTTCCCTGGAGACCTAGGACAGTTCTCAGATTACAGTGATTGGACCTACAAATTAGTATTTATGTCATGCTGTTTGGGGGCTTCTATTTCGTTGACTTTGACCTTGCTTCTTAGACACTGAAGCTTTCATTTGAGGGTGTACTAAAGAATGAGCCACCACCAGTGATGCATGTGTGCACAGAGAGTTTCTATACAAATTGAGATAAATAGTTACAGGTGCCTACATCTCTTGGAATTAAATACATGAATATCTATTGAGGGCGGGCTGTCTGCCAGGCGCAAGTCTGCAAAAATTCAATAGAGGCCCTGAGGGGGTTGGTAGAATATTATAAGAAGTTTTTGCTTGGAAAGCAGTTGATAAAATAAGCCTGCTGAGAGGTTGGCATGAGATCTGTCTGAGCCAGACCTTTTTGAAATCATTTATAGAGAAACTTGCAAGGAGACAACAAACAAAGAATAGAACAGATTCACTAGTGTTTCTATAATCCGTTCTCATTGACTCTGGCAATGGGACCACCATATTTGAATCCTTTCATCTCATTTGTGATGTGAAGAAGTCACAGTGGCACTTAGAAAGTCAAAACTCAGAAGTTTCTGGGTCTGAGCAAACATGAACTGAAGAAATATTTAAAGGAGATGACACCATTTTTAAGGCACTTGGGAATCAATTTTTCATGATACCTCGAAGACAAGAAGACTCCGTGGAAGGGATAGTATTACAAACAATGCTTTTACCAAAGTAAGGCATCCAAGAAGACATCAACAACTACTGACCCACTTGTTTTCTCATCTCTACAAAGTGTTTATGAGCATGGTCTATGTATGCATAAAGGAAATCCTAGATTAACATATGAGAAGGTAGCAAATGGGCTTTTGCAGACAATTTTCTATGCTTCCCATGTGGTCAGAGATCTCAGAGATCATAGAATCATCGACGTGGAAAAGATTTAGAAGTCATCTAGTCCAAACTCTCATTTTACAGGTCTTCAGAGGTATAGTAATGTGTGTACCCAGAGTCACACAGCTAATAAGTAGCAGAACAGGGATTGAATGAAAAGAGAAATTAAATTCATCTCTTAATCAGATTGCTTCAGCCCTTGACTATTATAAAGAGTCTTATCCAGAGATTGTTAACATATAGTCCCTGCTCTGAGTTGATTCTCTAATTATGTGCTTCTCATGTTTGTGTTACAAATGCTGTATGTGATGTGTCAGGTCATGACTTAAAATGGAAAGTGCTAATAAGGAACACTTAACGATATTGTGGCTACTTAATCTCAACCACTATCAATGAACAGTTCATATAGTAGTATTGGATTGTAAGGTGAAAGTCCATTTTTATTGAGGAAAAGTATTGAGTTTTATCTGACATTTTATCTGACATTTTACCTGTGTAAAGATATCATCTTTACATCCATCATCTTGTCTGCAGTCCACTCCTATTACAGATGAGGAAACTGAGAGCCTGAGAGATTATAGAGTCTAGAAAAGTTGCATGTAAAATGATTTTTACAAAGCAAATCATACTCTAAATGTCCTAAGTGGTGAATTAATTTACCTTGTGACTCAGTAAATTAATTGTACAGATTGAGCATTGATTTCAAGAGAGATGCTCTGTGTTTATACAGGGTTTCTAGGCCATGATTTCATGCATTAGGTGGTGATGAGTCACTGCTGGATTTCACAGCCTCTTTGGTATTTCCCACATGTATCATTTAGACTGTTCTACCAGTGGATGAAAGCTTGACAGAATCGTTAGGAATCCGATCCAAATATGCTTCCTTGCGGAAAGATTCATTACTAAAATCAGGTACGTAGTTCTCTGAATCGATCTCAATGCCTTGCTTATAAGCTTAAACATGTGAACATAGAACTAGAGAGAAAATAACTATTCACTTATGGTTATTACAGTAGTCTGAGTTGATTTCACTTATCTCCTTTCTAAACATAACTGCTTTTGCCAGATGTTCATTGCATTAGTCATACATTGAGCAGGAGACATGTTGCGGGATTATTTGCTTCTCTTTGATTTCATGCCTTCTTCTCTCCCTTTTATCCCCACAACCACATCAGTTAGTTTAGACAAATAGTCACTATGCTTTTCAGTGTGAAGATTGGATACAGCATATAGAAAAATGTGTTTGGAATCAGTCCTTTTGTCATTTTTCCTTAGAAACATTGTCATGCACTTGGGTGAGGGGTGAGTGTGTGTGTGTGTGTGTGTGTGTGTGTGTGTGTGTGTGTGTGTGTG